TCCCTCCCTCCTTCCCTTCTTTCCTTCCTGCCTTTCATGCCTGCATCGTGCCTGCCTTTTCTGCCTTTCCTGCCTTCACAATTTGTCCAAAAACATTCATTCAGAGTCTGAGCCTTCAATAAGTAGATCCATGAGTATTGTGTAGTGCAAGTTTTACAGAGATGAGAGGCAGTAGTGGGGTTATTTATTTGTAGGAAGTGAAAGGAATAGGTGTCTTCTGGGATAGGTGTCTTCTATACTGTTCTCTGTGATAGTCACAGTACCCAAAGAATGGAAGTTATTCCTTTAAGCAATGCGGAGCTGTGCATTTAAAATTTGACTCGTAGCAACTTGGAGTGTTCATTTTTAACTCCATCCTCAAGAGCTGGCTACTTTTTAGTAAAGATACAACTAGCTAACCTTTAATACAGTGTGAATTTTTCTAAGTTTCATGTTATACCCTAGTGCCCAGAATGATGAACGAGAGGATCAGGATAGGGCAGAACGTAGCCATTTTCCCTCTGACATTACTACATTTGAATTCACTTTGTCACTGCAAATTGTAGCTGCCCTATCCAGTATGCATAATTATTTTAAGTTAGTACTGGTAAGTGCAAAGAAGTAAGCATCTCACCTGTAGAGTATAATGATTAAAGACACAGACACCTTTGTCAAGCTAACATCTCTTACGTTTATGTGTATTCTCTTTCTCCATAAAGGAAGAGAGCTGAATCTGATTCTAGGAAGAGCAGCATACCTAATAGCAAGGAGGTCCCCTCTCACCATCCCACAGACCCAGTGGAGCTGCGACGCCTTAATTTTCAAACTCCAGGTAAGAGACAATAATACTAACTGAGATCTCTGTGGTCACAAACTGATTAGTGGTGCCTTTAAAGAACAGAAAGATTGATTGTTTAGAAAAATGTATTTTGATTGCTTATGATTTTTTGCACAATGTATTTTTTGTTAGCTTTGGAAATAGTTATGTAAATTTTTATTTTTTAAAAAAAATCCTGCACAAAACAAAACTAAAGTTCTGCAAAGCAGACCCCAAAGTCACATATTTTATGGATGTGTTTTATGTGCTAAAATTCAAAGTTAAACCTAACCATGCTGGAAAAGACCCTTGGGAAATGTGCATCCCTCTATTTATTAACAATATTCTTACAGCTACTTCTTTGTAAATAAACATCCCTCTTATCTACTGCATTATCAGAAAACCAGTAATATCATTGGAAGTTTTACTGTATTGCAAATGTATAATACAGAAAGGAAATACTAACCAGAGAAATAGTCTTGTCTTTTAAAATCAGGCCTTACGTTACAGTCAGGATATTAATATGCCACAAGTGCTGAAGGTAGAAACAACACACTGCCAAGTATTTTATTTAATTATGTTATTTTGTGAGCATTGTTTTCTAAAAGATGTTTGGTTTGATCATCAAGAAACAACAGGAGATAACTACTGAATCTTCTTGAGCTTTATGTTTGTCAATTTTTTTACATTAAGTACAAAAAATAGTGAATTCATGCTCATAAAGGCAGGAAGTTAAGTAGTTGAGTTGTTGAGAGATTAACTGCAGAAGTGACACATAAAAAGAGTTTACTGAATTTGCAAATCTCATTTCTGATCTTCCAAATAGTTGCTATATTAAGCTAGTGTTGCCTCAGCAGAAGTGGATCTGCAGAACAATGAATTTTTGGCTGAAGACTCAACATCCACTCTGCATGCATGTGACAGAGGTAGAAAGAGGAGAGTCTGGAGACTTGAGTTTTATCCGAGCCCTGCTTTTTTTTAGTCTATTCCTGCATACTGAATGCACTTTAGCAGCTGGAACAAATTAGGTGTGTTTTAGAAGTGCATCTTCTAGTTTTGTTTCATCTAAATGTGGGAATTTTGTTGATGTCTCTTGGACCTGTGTAAAATATGAACGTAAGTGCAGTAAATGGAAATTACTAAAAGTTTTGATTCACAGTTGTGCTTCTGAGACTACAATATTAATGTAGGCTCATCCCTACTGACCAAAGGTTTCATATGTTATCCAGCATTTTCATATGAAAGTTGTTTAAAGGTTGTTACAGAGATAGAAGTATACATACAAGTCTTTCAAACATGGGAAAAAAAAGTCACGGTTCTTACAGTTTAGCTTATGGTAAAAAAAAATCATTATCTGTATACAGATCTATCCTGAGTAGAGTGGATGGCTTAATAACTAGGTGTATAAGCATAATTTTCTGCTGTCCATGTATTTAGATGTGGATTACCTAGCCATTTAGTATTCATCATAAATTAAAACAAAACGTGGACAGAAAAAAAAAGTGTTGCCAAGATTTAACAACTTTACATGTTAAATTAATTTATTATAATTAATTCTAAATTTACATTTGTATAGTTCTTAAGAAATGTCAGAGTTTATGGCTATTGTAGACATGATAATCCCACCTCGTTGATCTGAAAAGAATTGGAGTGGAAGTGTAGCTTTCCTTGTAGTGCTGTAGTTTATCTGGGAAGTTTACATTTTTCTGCGAAGCTAGTTAAGCAGAACATCTGCAGCCATTTCTACTATGAGGTCTTTGCTGTAAACCTTTTCACAAAGCAGGAGATTAAAGTTATTATTAAAAATATAGTACAGAAGTAAAATTACAATCTTTTTTGCTACTGTTGTGCCAACTAAGACCCCTAGGTCAGGCCATTATGTTACTCAGCATGCAGCTGAATATCAAGGAGAAAGTTCCTACCCCAGGAGATTGTCTTGCTGTGTAACACTTGCTAATTAGTACATTATTAATATGTAATCTTAGCCCTAGTGAAGTCAAGGTACAGTTCTTATGCTATAAAATCCAAAACCTCACAGAAATTACATGAACTTTAGTTGTGGCTACCATTTCATTAAAATCGGTCTGAATTTCACTCTAGATATTTAGATCCTGCTGGAATGTTTATCCAGCTTCACACAGTAACAAACCATTAAACAACATGCATAGCAAGGCTTTTCAAGACAAATGTAGAGAAACTAGAGAAAGTCTCTACATTCAGGATACCAGTTTTGATGGTTTTGTTCTTCAGCTTTGTGATGTCTATATTTTCCACCAGACAGCAGACATAGGGTACTTCTGGGGCAAAGCAGACAGTTGAGAAAAATGGATTGTGGTTGATGTGGTTATGTGTCGGGGTTTTTACTTAGACATCTGCAGTCACCCTCCTACGATGGCCTTATCTGCTTTGTAAGATGTTACAATTTATGAAGATTGCTTGCAGATAAAATAAATTACAGTGGTGAATGTACTTTAATTATCAGTGTATGACAAGTCAGTACAACTGCATCACGATGATTTGACATCATTGTTATTATAATGATTTATTTATTTAGGTTATGAAGCATCCACAATTTGCATGGAACTTTACAGACACACCAGTTGCTTCCAGTGGGAAGAGGGAAAAGAATTTGTAATAAATCCAAAATGTAAAGAAGTGTTAGAGGAGAAAATTTTAAATTACCTTTACAATTTCACTGGGAGGGGTGGATGAGACACTAGTATAAGACTCTGTGTTGTCATAAACTTAAATACTTTAAAAGAATTATAAACAGCCTCTTCCCAAAATTGCCACCAATCATATATTTTGTGTAAGGAAAGTTCTGATCAGATGTACCTGTCAAAATAATTTGAAAGTGGAACCATTGTTGTGATAAATATGAATTTCTAACTACAAGTACAAAATACTCTCAATACAGGTGGTTAGACATAACTGTTTAAAAGTAATTATGGAGAAGCAATATTTTATCTTTGATGTTATTTAGGCAATGATTTAGACTCAGATATGTTGTGCTTGTCAAAAAATTGTCAATTCAGCATGATGTCCTAAAAACCCAGTTTAAACTACCAGCAAATGTCTTGGTTTCCTTTTTTTCTTGTCCCATCAATACCAGACTTCATTCTTCACTGCCTAGTACTTACCTAAAGAGTCTCCTATCTTATTTTGTCCAGGAAGGATCAGTTTCATCTCTGGCTTCTTTCCTCACTGGATGGTATAACTCCATAGATAAATTTGACATTTGAAATAGCCCACAGTTTTACGTCTGAGAACAAGATCCCATGTCCCTATATGTTATCCAGAAATGTGTATTTGTTACATAAGCCCATATGCCAGTGAGTGGGTCACAGCTGTGCCAAGTTTTCTTTGAGTAAACATGAAAATAACCTGTCTTTAAGTAGCATATACAATTTCATTTATAAGTCTTTTACTCTTAGGGAACTGGAGTAGCTGAGGAAGAGTCAGTCACAGTCTTCCCATTCCACAAGTTTCATGTGAAATACAGGATTAAAATTATTAACCTTGTGCACAGATTTTAGAAGTCTTTATGCCACATGGGAGAGTGAGGGTAAGGCAGGGGTAATAATTAAACACTTGCAAAAGATTTCATCAAATTAGGAAGCCCGGTTTTGCATAGAGGAAAATAACTGATATTAAGTGGTTTGAGTGGGTTATGAGAGACCCAAGGCTCAGGCAAAGATTTCAACCTGCCAATCAGCCAAAGAGCTAAATTGAGTCATGTCTTAAAAGTGACTGGGTTTTCTTCTCATTTCAGTATAAAAAGTGTCACACTTAAAAGTAATTTGTGTAATTGGGTGCCAGTTAATCAATTATCTCATTATCTCTTATGAACTAAATAAGATGCTTTGAAATACAAGAAAAATAAATAGAATTATTAAGGCTCTGAATTAAAGACTCTGCTTTTTTGTTAGATAAGTAAATGCTCACAAAACATTTTTTGCCTGAGTTCCTAAGGATATTTCACCAACTTAGTTCCAATATAAGGCAGAAAAAGGATAAAACAGGTCCAGAGGAAAAAGGTGCAAATAAAAAGAAAACAAAACAAAACAAAACAAAACAAAACAAAAGATGATGTCTTGATTTTTCCATCTCCTTTGCAAAACAGCAGGAAATGTCTTCCCTAAGTTTATCCATACAGTTTCTGTTTATGAAAGTCACAACAATGCTGAAGGAAGTGCTGTGCTTTGTCTCCATGGCAAAACTGGAAGAGCTTTCTCATGTGATACTACGTCTAGATCTTGACTCACATGAAGGATTTAGGCACCAAGAAGAGGTATAGGCTTTAGAGTGCAAATGGCAGTTCTTTGTTATCCCACTTGGTCACAATCAAACCTAGAGACAATCAAAATCTGCTTAGCTGATTGAGAACTCTGCTCCTCACAAGAGGTTTGTTGTGTTTTTTTTTTTTCCCTGTATTTTAGCCAATGGTTTTCCTCTTTGTTATTGTATTGAACAATTTTAGATCAGAGACAGCTTTTACACCTCACTCAGAGCTAGGGCTTACACTGTGAGGCTGCAGAGTCCCAGGGCTGCTTGGTAGAGCTAAGTCTTTGATACAGAACAAAAATTATTTTAATTCCAGAATATTTAGTCTAGATTTGAGTAACAAATTCTTTTGGAATAAAAGTGGCCTTGTTTTGCAATACTATATACACATGGGTAACTAATATTATAGAATCACTATTGCAGGCTAACACAGTTTTCTAGAGCAAATTGTGTAAATTTGGTTTTGTACACAAGCTGGAAGATCACACCCTGGCACAGAGAAGTGTATGTGAAAGTAATTTCAAAGCAAAAGTAATTTTTTTGTCAAATATGCTAAAGATATCCTTGCTAAATTTTCATGGATGCCAAATTCCTCCTACATCAGGGTCATCTTTCATTTTTTCCATTTTCCTTTTCCAAATTGCACATATTTATTTCTTTCTCCTTTTTTTGATAAGGGTAAGTATCAGTAATAGTATCCACTGTTACTGATTCCTTCCTTTTTCTATAAAAGGACAATGTCTTAATCAATATAGATTGGTGTGTAGAAAGGTATTCTGTGTTATTAAATAAAAATTAGGATATAATAAATATTCTTCTTTACTTACAGTGTTAATTCAGTGGAGACTTGAAATACAATTCATTTCATAAAGACATTTCTGTGAAAGTAGTGTGTCACATTTTCGGTTCATCTAGATAGAGTCTATAACAGCTATGCAGCTTGTTTAACTTCTAACTTCCATGTTGTTTATTGTGGACGTGTGAACCTACAGGTCCAAATATGTAAAAATAATCTGTGTTTCTTAAAAGTTTTTAAAAGCCCTTTTCATAATACCTTGACAACCAACAAAATCATAATTTAATGCACTTATGACAAGGTCAAAACACTCACTTGTTACAGTGGGGTAAAGGATTATGCTTAACAGGTTTAGTGTCTGTTCATAGGCAGATGAATTCTGGCCTTGCTCTCTCAGTTTTTCCTTGGAATTGTGACACATATGATATTCCATGTTCCTTAGTTATGTATTTACCACAGATTAGCCGGAAGATAATTCTACACTGTAATTAAGCCATACATTCTCACTTAATACATGTGGAGGGGTTCCTGCAAGGCTGTATAAGATCAATGACATTTGGCAATCTTCTACCAAATCTGAAAATAAAGTAATCTTAGGGGCACAATTTCAGCTGTGTTTGCATGCAATGATTTTTGTATTTTGGTGGGTTTTCTTCCTGTTTTTAAGTGGTTTTATCTCTTTATTTTCTTACTTTAGATAAAGTTTGAAAGCATGTTCTCAGCATGGTGTTTCTTTTGACTTACTAGCATGTCACAGGATCTGTTGTAATTTAGCTGTATTTTGTCTTTTTTTTTTTATGTTTTCATAGCATATGTTGATTGATGTGGAGCTGTGTCAGCAAATAAGTGTGTTTTCTTATTTGTAGCCACAAAAATAAGTGTGTTTAGCTGCATTTGGGGTGGAGTTTTTGAGTCAAGTTCTACACATGCAACTCATGTTAAGCTCAGCAGGAGCCTCATGCTTTTGCATGAGATATGATGAAATCTTGAAATGTTCATTCAGAGCATATTCTTGTTATGATTCATAGACACATACATAACAAAAGTCCTCCAGCAGTTCTTTTAAAAAGTAATACTTCAGTCATCTCAGTAGAACACATTTTATGTATTTCAAAGATTACTCCATAAGTTTACTGCAAAATATTGTTTGAAAAAAGTTAATAAGTTTAAGATCCTAAAATGAATTGTGGAGAAAGGGGTATTTTGTAGCCAAAAATCTGTCAAGTTCTGAAATTGTAATAGTTCTTTTTTTTTTCCTTAGAAAAGAAAGTTTTATGTCAAGTTTCATTCTGCACACAGTGTTTAACATGAAATCGCCCCTTAGGAATTTCAAGTGGCATATAGAGGAGCAAATAAACAAAAATAGTTTAAAAAAGAATGGATGTTCAGCATCTTTAAAAAAAAATCATTCACAGTAAGCTGATTCTTGAGAACTGTGTTCATCACATAAAGAGCAAGTCTCATTCTCTTTGGTTTTATATCCTTCATGTTTATAGTAGGGTAACTGGAGCTTTAGACACCTTCTTAGTTAAGTTTCCAGACGATGTTTTGTGCATGTCTGAAGTGCCTGTATGTACAAGATTGATTGATTATGATGGTCTGCTGCTGTTACTAATTTGTTTCCCATTTCCGATTGGCTTTTACTTTTTACAGCTTTGAGCAGTAATTCAGTCCCCTACGCCTCCCTGATTGGCTCTGTGTCCTCCCTCTCTAGCCAAACTACCACTCAGTCCTTATATGATAATAACTCTCTCCCACGATTCGCTCGAAAAGGTCTAAACATCTTTGTCTCTATTATTTTCTCTGTTCAAGCACTGTTTTAGATGTACATCAGTCCACCTCCATTTCTGGATCGATCTAGAGTTCTCTTGTGCCTTTTCACTTACATATTCTCCATAGGGGTGCTTGATCTGGATCAATCAGTGTAATTATTAGATGACTGTCACCCACACTCATTTTGAGAATAGCCAAGTTCTGTTAAGTAAAATTTCTAGAGAAAATGGGAGACAACCAGAACCGATTCAAATAAATTAGTACTTATGGACTAATTTATTAATTGAAATTTATAAGAAATCTCCCCATTATATCTGAATATTCTGCTTTGTTATTTTTCTGACAACTTTCCTTAATATCTGCTTTAAATAATGTCTTACTGTCACAGTTGTGCTATGAAGGTAATACATAAATATATAAGTATAGGGTCAGAAAATTTAGGGCTAGTGCTGCTGGACATCATTTTGGACTCTAGTATGATGTCTGAAACATCAAAGAATCAGAAAGAAAACAAGAATTTTAAAAACATACAGAAAAATATTCTACACTGTGACTGTGTTTTGACCACATGGTCATTTTGAGCTACGTTTACAGGAAATGCAAGTAAACTGTCTTAAGCATGCTCTTGAAATTCACGGTGACAAAGCAAACTGCATTGTGCAACATGGCTTCCAGCTTGAGCCCCCTTGAGTCATCACTATTTTCCCTCTGTAATTTCAAGAGATCCTGGGGTTCACTAGCTTAATTTTTCTAGCCAGCTCTGATTTCTTCCCACAAGCAATTAAAAACTCACTTTCATTTTAGGTGTGATAGTATAAAGTATGAAGAGAAGAATGTAAGCATTATGGAGAAAGGCTGTGAAGACTAATAGCATGAAATGAACTTGTTTACGAATTTTTTGCCTCAGAAATCTTCAGCTGGCAGATTGTTCTAGTTGACCCCACGTCTTTTCTTCTTTGTTTTGCCTTGCTGTCCCTACATTCCTTTCCACAGTCATCTCTATTTCTAACTGCCAGATCTTCTCCTTCTCCTTCTCCTTCTCCTTCTCCTTCTCCTTCTCCTTCTCCTTCTCCTTCTCCTTCTCCTTCTCCTGCTCCTGCTCCTTCTCCTCCTCCTTCTCCTCCTCCTACAAAGATGTTTTCTCCTCCACCTTCTCCTCCTCCTTCTCCTTCTCCTTCTCCTTCTCCTTCTCCTTCTCCTTCTCCTTCTCCTTCTCCTTCTCCTTCTCCTTCTCCTTCTCCTTCTCCTTCTCCTTCTCCTTCTCCTTCTCCTTCTCCTTCTCCTTCTCCTTCTCCTTCTCCTTCTCCTTCTCCTTCTCCTTCTCCTTCTCCTTCTCCTTCTCCTTCTCCTTCTCCTTCTCCTTCTCCTTCTCCTTCTCCTTCTCCTTCTCCTTCTCCTTCTCCTTCTCCTTCTCCTTCTCCTTCTCCTTCTCCTTCTCCTTCTCCTTCTCCTTCTCCTTCTCCTTTTCCTTCCCCTTCTCCTTCTCCTTCTTCTTCTCCTTCCACTCAGTATTTTCATCAGTGGACAAAGATGTTTACACCTGAAGTAGATTGTAGGTACTTTTGGGGGTTGATAAATGGGGTTTCAGATTAAGCATATTTTAAGGTACTAGTGCAGTCAGCATGTGTGTCCAGCCAAACTGTACAACCCCTGCCTCTACAATCTGCTACTAGTGAAAACATTTTTGAAGTTCTAATTGTCTGATGTCCAATGTTGTCTTCAGTGACTGTTGTCTGAAAACAATGGTGCATGTTATTCTAGTCATTCATAGTTGCATGTCAGTGACCTCAAAACTTCATAATATATTTAAGTATTTCTAATTTAGTCAGAATATGTGGTCAGTCTTCTAGACTTTGATGCATTATTATTAATCCTCCAGCAGTCCATTTCATTTTTTATAATTTATTTTATATCTTAGTTTTTATGTTGGTTTGAAATTTCTTTGGTTTTTACCATTTCCTTTGCAGGTTCAGGTGTTGCCGGTTACCTCGGTAACCTTCATTCTTCAAGTTCGTTTTTCTTGATTATGCATAAATCACCTTGTTTTCTGTCAAAACACTATATTCTTTCCCCTTTAGGGCTCTTTCAGTGTTTGTTTCTCAGTTCACTTTTTCTCATCTAATTCAATGGAGTTTCCATTCCATGCAGTGCAGGAGAAGGAGGTTGAAATGACATTAAGAGTCATTACTCAAAGCAGAGGTCAACATCAGGTCTAACTGTCTCATTTTTCCATGCCTAGCTAACCTCATTGATTCATACCACAGTAACTCTTTCCTCTACACTAGGAATGTTAGCTTTGGGAATATGCTTGGTGACTTCTTTTAATTTTGCTTCAGAACTCATCTATCTAGAGCATGTCCTGCTTTGAGTAACCAAACTATTTGCCTGCTTCTCTCACGACATCTTTACTACTTACACATTTCTAGCCATTCTAACTACTGCATTTTCTAAGTTTTAGACTGATGACATCACTGGAGTTTACTTTAATTTCTCTTCTTCATTCTTGTTCAACAGGTATGGCCAGTCATCCCCCAATACCTATCTTGGAACTTGCAGATCATATTGAGAGATTGAAAGCAAATGACAATTTGAAGTTCTCACAGGAGTATGAGGTAATTTTCTCCAGTCTCTCGTTACTCAAGCTGTTTAAAATGTCATGCTTACTGTTTTGCTAGACTTCTCTCTGGTATGTTCCCATCCTCATAGTGCTAGTCTGTAAAAAAGTAAAACCATGATTAAAACGACTCTAAGTGTAAAATAACTACTGGTATGGTTGCCCCTTTACTTGTAACAATTTATTCTCTTTTAATATGGATATATGTCAGGCAGATTCATGGGCAGATACCTGTGGTGGTGTGTGAATGATACATCACTTGCTCTCTTTTAATATACAGAAACATCCATCTACTCTGCAGTTAAAACATCCTTAGATTATTTTTAAAATCTCCTGTGAAAAGTTGACAAGACACATACAGTATAAGCTCTAAAGAAGTCACAGTCCACTGTGTTAATTTTGCATGGATTAAAGCAATTTCCAATTTCTTGGTGTCTTTCCTAACATGAAAATTTGAATATGTTGAATTTTCCTCCTGTCAATAATACCACATTGGTAATCTGTGAATGATGGTCTATAAGAGTTTAACTAGAAGAGAGTAATAATTTACAAGCCATTTTGTCAGTAATCCGTGGAGTATAACCCCCTAGCAGGTGTTTGTACTGTGGAGAGTAACAGCCTCTCATATCAGTAATTTGTGGCTAAAGGAACTTAGATAGCCAACCATTAAATACAGTAAATTGTAGCTGTTTCCTCTATGTCCAAAATCTGTGGATAAAGTATGCACTGAACCATCTTTAGAGAAGCTATAGGCAGTCGTATTAGAGGGACCTCTGAAACAGTATTTTCATTATAGTCCTTGCTTAAAACTCCATGAGAATTTATTAGTGTGTTGAAGTAATAAAACCATGTTACTCACATTTTTGAGGGGACCACACTTTCACTGCATTTGAAGATTCATACAAACACTGACAGTCCAATAAGAAACACTGAAGAAGACTTTCACATATTGGTTCCACAGTAACATGTGACCGCATTGTACAAAGACCCTCTAAATGCCCAATGTATTTTAAAAGTCTTGGTGGAAAATGTTTAAAAATAATGCTAACTACTGTGATAGAGATCTACAATTGCTTATTATTTAACTGAATATGCTGTTCAGAAAGACTTTTAAGACTGCTCTAAGTAATAACCTCATTAGATGTCAAAAGGAAACTATAATCTCAACAATTCATGGAAATAAATTTGTTTGAAGAGCATCTCAGGGTTACTATTTACTGTTGCAGTCAGAAAAATGTGGGAGCATTCTTCTAACATTTCTGCATGTAGATCCTGTGTTCTTAAATGCAAAGATTGTAGCATATAAAGATTCAGACAGGGAAGCTTACCTAACAGAATGTTCACCATGAAAAAACAAACACGTGGTACAAATTTGATAATTATTTCCTGTTGTATACTATGGGCAAATTCCTTGGAATATCTGTGTAGGAAATTCCATTTAATGAAGTAAAAAATGTCCTTGCAAGTCATATAATGTAGTATAACTTCCATAAAAATAAACAATGCACCTTTACTATGTCTCGAGCCAGTTGTGGATATGGTGTGGTTCTTCTTGTACTGTAATGTGAATTAAAAATTTTAATGGTTTATATTTGCTTTATTATTTAAATCATTAAAATAATCTTGAGAATTTAATTTTAACCACTTATAGGCAGCATTGTAAAAATACATTAAGTCATTCAACTGGAACTTTTTACCCGTCTATGTAAACAGCCCAGCATTCATATTATTTTACAAAACATACCACCTGACCGTCTGAGGCAGAGTGATCAGATATTCAAGATTAAAATGTGGGCAATTGAAGGTCAGTATCAGACTTCGTAGCTTGACGCTCACAATGCTTTGCCCAAGGGATGTTCAACATTTATCTTCGAAATCCCAGCTTTAGAGTACCACTTCATTTTCATCTAGACATCCATTTTGAAACAGAATTAGTGAAAAGCACTGTTATTTGATTTTATGGTCTAGACTAGGCAGTGGACTAAGGCTGCAGTTTGATCATCACTGAAAGTCATCTCCCTCTCTTGGCTGTGTATTCCTGTTGTCTCTCTTGTGCCAATCCTGGCACTAGCGCATGTGCAGCTGTTCAAGGATTATCTCAGGAAACAGAGACAGTTGAAAACTAATTGTTTTATTTTTCTTTGCTGTTTTCAGTTGGATCAGTCCCCTGAACTAGCTCACCACATGGCGGCATGAGCTCTAGTGCCAGCACAAAGGAGCTGGTGGGAACATTTCTGGTCAGGGATTGATTGGGACCTTCTCTTTCAGCAGCAATCCTCACTAAAATCCCTTAAAAGCAACTAGCCAATTCTGAGGCAAGGCATGGGTACAGTTGGTAACAGTTTCGTTATTATCACTTCAGATTACATTTGAACTGGTGACACAAAAGGAAAAAGAGGTATTTTTCATCTTCAAGAGTTAAAGATGTAACATGCAGCAGGAACCCTTTGACCTTTAGCGATAGCAGTAAAATCCTCTGATTCAGTTGCATTTGGGGAAATGCTCTTTCCTACTTGACGTTCCATTATTTGATAATACTTTTTATGGACTTTCTTGCGTTGCATGAGTGAAACTCTTGAATAATAGACTGATCATGCCATATGATACCATAAAATAAAATATGCGTGTACAGTTTCCTGATGAACACTGAATTTTCATCCACTTTGTAGAATTTCTTTCAGTAGATTAGCTCCACTTCTAAAGGATGTTTTAATTATATTTAGCGGGCTCAACTTTTGTTGCTTCTTCAAGAGAATTACTTTTCTCGCAGCTCAAACACATCTTTCCATATTATATGCTACTTTTTCACCTGTTTCATCCTTGCTCCTCTTCCATACACTGCCATTTTATCAGAATTTCAGATGAAAACTGCATAGACGTTTGTTTTTCTGCTTTTGGAAGAGTGTCACTTCCTTGCCTGCTCCTACTCTCTCTTCAGACACATGAAAACCTCCCTGTCTCTTCACTGCTTCCAAAAGAGAGTTTTCTCACAGAAGGCACGCATCTACGTGCTATCTTCTCTGCCAATTTATACTTTCTGATGTCATTTTCTAATGAAAACTCCTAAGTTCCTCACACCCGCCTAGAGAATCATAGAATTATAGAAAATGAAATCTCTGTAGGCTTGGATCATGGGAGAAGTCAGGATTGCTTTCTTCAAATAATCCCAAGCTCAAGTCACTAGTCTCTGTTTATCTGGTACAAAGCTTCCCAAACAGCGTGGGTTTTTTGATGTTTGGGGGGGGGGGATTTTTTGTGGTGGATTATTGTATTGTTTTTCTTCTCTGAGAATATATTCCTTTTATGTTGTGTTAAATATAATAGAGAACAAATCTAAAATTGCTATTAAAGAAATAGTAAGTCCAAAGTGCATCACATTGATCACTCTGGTTATGAATGGCATGCACAGGGTAATGCAGCAAATTGGGAAAGTAGGTGTTGCAGAAGTAAGCAGCAATATGCATAGTATTGACTATATAGTCTTAAAAAAAGAGAGAAAACAACATAGAGAGCAAAAAAGAAAAAAGTAGAACTCCTTAACTGTTATGATGTTACAAAATGATTGTATTCTCCAGTGTAAACCATCTTCCAGCCATGTAGTGTTTTCTAATCTTTAGTATAGTTGATTGTAGAAGTTCCTGCTTTTGTAAGTCTTCAGGGCTTCTCCTACCCCTGATTTTACAAGGGTGATCATGATAACAGTGGGGACTTCTGTCATTTTACTTCTCTCACAACTGGACCTTGAATACCAGGTTTCATGGGAGAATAAAGGCCAAGACTTAAAGATAAATATTATTGCAGAATTTAAAGAAATATTAAATTCCTCTGTTGGATAAAGTGGTTTTGTAGTTTTAGCATAGATAATGCTATGTCTTCTTCTCAGTAAAGTTTATTTCCACTTCAAAATACATTTTTCTTAATCACTCGTTGATCATTATTAGTTTGCAGTCCCCAAGCCTTAACGAACATTGATTTACCTCATCAACATGACATATCCTTTATGTCACGTAGTTCTTTTGTATTCCCTATTTTTAAAAAAAAAATAAAAATTCTTGACCCCAAGTGATTATTAGGAAGCTTTTGCTGACTTTGGCAGTTTCAGTGGGATTTTTATGTAATGCAAGGCTCCATATGGACTTGACAGCTGCTAAGCAGAAAGCCATATTCGTAAGAAATTGACCTTTATATCATATCTCCTTCTTAACACAGGCTTCAGAATTTAACAATAAAAAGTGGTCGTGGAGATAGACTGAATGAGAACAGTAATGTCCTGCCTGCTTTATGCAATACATTAGATGTATTTATATTTCCTCCTATAACAGAATAGAAAATCTATTCCTCTAAAGCAGATTTCTGAGTCTTCACTTTTGTTATCCGAGATCTGCAGTCATAACTTTACACCCTTAGGAGACAAACTCGCATTCTCACCAATTTGGTGTGAGAACCTGTCACTGCAGTATAAAAATCACGCTACCAGCCTCTATATGTTATTATATTATTTGCTGTTTATGTTTGTGTGTGCAATGGGTAAAAAAATTACTATAATTTTAATGAGTTTCCTCATCAGGTTTTTCTGTAAATTACAGCTAGTCTTTTGCTTTAACACTGGGTGTTGGAAAAGATGAAGATGCATTTTGACTCTGTACCACACTGCTGTACTATTACAAGTTTTATTGTAGCTTTTTGGTATCAGTGGGTAGGATTTGTGATGAGAACAAAATATAATACATCTATCTTTTTGCATCTCAAGCTGCAACAACATAAGCACTGGACACTAAAACAATAAATTTTACATGATAGAAGCACATGTAAAACCTAATATTGATATAAAACACTTTAAAAGTCCATGAAGAATAGATAACCTACTGAATGAATCTTTACCAAAGAAACAGCTGCACTGAACTGTCATATCATTACAGATTATAGTGACTCATATGCAAAAATCAATTTCTCTCAGCAAAAAATGTGTTTTCCGTTCTTTACAGTACTTTCTTATTT